ATTGTTTGCAATCTTGTTAGCATTCAATTATCTGCTGTTGAAATCCAGAGACATATTGAAGAAAGAATCGAATAAATATTAAATTGTATTTTTAATTAAAATTTCAAATCCATGAAAACCGAACTAATATTGTTAGATGAAACAATGTGTTAAGTTTACTAAATTTTAACATAGGTCAACAAAATATCATTAAGAAAAATAGGAAGAAATAAGATTAATTTCAATATCGAATATTTCATATCGTATTTTCCCGGAATAGAAGAAATTATGCTGTTTATATGTAATTACGCGTGCAAAATAAAATGATAAACATTTAGTAAATTGATAAGAATAAGTCATATATGAATATGTATAAAGAGCGAAAAATTAGTCAGTTAAAACAAAAATATTAGTCTCCATATATATATATAAAGGATAGCGAGCGGATAATGCTAGAAAAGATACCTAAGTGATATCTTTTTACTTATCAACTGAAAATAACACATTTCAATAGTAGTCAAAACGAACAGAAGAAGATATCATACGATCATAAATATATATGTGAAGGGTCGCAAACGGATGAATTTCGCGGGATAAACCTTTAAGTGATATTCCTTGGTTCATCAGTTGGAAACAGCATATTTCAGGATTAATCAATAGAGCAGAGGAAGATTGCATTAAGGTAACCAAAGGGAAATTTTCATAAGACATATATATACATAAGGAATAGTGAACGAATGTTCTATATGTTCATTTACAGTTATAGATTCATTTCGTTGTAAAAAAAACAATACCAAGTAAGTGTTTTATTTACATTTTTATGATTCTTAATGATAAGTAAATCTTATTCATTTATCTAATAAATAGTTCGATATGCATCACAGCAAGTTTTTAAATTGATCATAATGACTCTATTTTATGATTTATTAAATAAATTACTAAGCAACATATTCAGCATTTTCATATGATTCATTATTTTGTTTTCCTAAAATGTACTTTTTGTGAGAAAAATATGTCATACGTTTATATTTCCATCGATTACATATTGGCTTTTGTTTATAGATGATTAAACAGGTGTCTCCGTAATGTGCTATGTTCATGAATAATGTTTATATGGTATGACATTTATAGTCTTCTAGTATTGAGGAGAAAACTTTCAGTAATGATATTTCATTGAAGAACGGATATTCGTAAAACTTTTTCCGAAAGTGTAGGCATTCATAGTAATAAAAGGAAGAAATAGTGTATTTAATATGAATATTTCTTATTTCAAAACTTAAAAGTCTAGTAAATAGATTTTGTCTACTGAAAACATTTGTTTTTACATGTGACTAGATTCACCATGATAACGTAAAAATGTTTCATCATAACATTTAGTCAAACATTACACAGCCAAGGTTACTGTAACAAAAGCACTAGGTATTTGATATTTTTCTTGCATCAAACAATGAATATTCATTCTGATGTCATTGAATCACAATTGATGACACATACTTTTTTACCTGATTCAAATAAAATGATATGAATCATAAAGATGTTTGACAATGTTTTTGCATATACGTAAAACTTTACCTTTTCTCCTACGCGAATGTACTGTTTGACAATGTTATTCGATTGTATATTCTAGAATGTTATAGAACATTTTTATCCAGAAAGAATAATACGTATATTATAAAGAGGTAAAATTGTGTTGCCTGTTCTTCTATTTGAATTCGATACTCTTTTGATAACGTCCTCATTCTCTGCCTGCGTTCCGTCCAATTGGCTCGTGATTTTCTTTCGTTTCTGTTATTATTTTTCGTACAGCGGGTTTTTTCCTAGTAATTTCTTCCTCGTATAAATATAAGGATCCGTGAAAAAGGGTATAGCTGTGGGTGTAGATTAAGAAAAGATTAGCCATCATCCTGATCCAGATCCAGATCCAGACCCACTCCTAAACCCACCCTTCTTGATGTTTTACTGTTTTTTGCATGAAAATAAAATGAAAGTAGTTTTCTCCCTATAATCGGAATGGTACTTCTACAAAAATTTATATGAATAGTATTTGATAACCCTTTGAAGATAGACATAGTATGTATACCATCTCACTCTCAAATGGTTAAATAAATTTTTTCTTTCATTATGGATATATAAGGTATAGTGTGTGTATTGATTCTTAAAAACAGTTTTTTTATGTTAATATTCTATACACATATTTAGTTACTATGTGGACGCCTCAGGCCTTTGTTATAAGGAACATAGGATGAGAAGGTAGAGTTGTAACTAGTCCGACCAAACTAGTCCTCATGCGTTTTTACCGGTATAAAAAGACTTTAAGACCGGCGAGATTGGACCGGTGGAGTTTTCTGTGATCGGTTACAAGCTCTGTTAGAATGGGTTGAAAAGAGATATTTGAAACAGCATTTTCTATAAAAAGAATGTGAAAGTGAAGAAAACAATTTTTTAACAATTAGAAAAATGCGCATATACATACACATAATAGTACATTCTGATATTATTATTTAAATAACATTTCCTCTGACGAAAAATGAAAATATATTTAGGCAGACTATAAAATCCTTTGCTAAATCGTATATTTATATTTGATTTAGTAGCGATAAAACTGAATTTTTCTAACTCATTTAAATAGGCAAAAGAAAGCTCCTCTAAACAACATTCATCAATAATGGAGGACGTCGCATTCCGTCAAACAATAGCAACTTGCGAAAGATTAATACAAAAACGTGGAGTTCATTCAGTCAATGCCATGAAAGCAGCCGGATTTTATTATACAAATGATAAAGATACAGCCCGTTGTGATACCTGTGGACTTGAAGTATCTGGGTGGACAGTTGATATGAAACCATTTACTATTCACTCACAACGTAGTCCAACATGTGCTTTCGTAGGTTCGATAAAAGGTGAAGGACTGATTACGACTCCTTCAATACTTAGTTTTACTTCAACTATTTCGACATCGAATGATGATGAAAAACCTTCTAAAAGACAAAAAATAGAAGTACTACAAGATGGTTTTCAGTCGAATATACTCACAGAAGTAAACACGTTAAAACAAGTACGACGAAGAACTTTTTCTCATTGGCCACATCGTACAATTCCATCAGCAGCACAAATGATAGAATCTGGCTTTTTCAACTGCAATGTGGGTGATCGAGTAATATGTATTTATTGCAACCTGATATGTCAACAATGGACACCACATACTGATGATCCATGTGAAGTACATAAAACTCTTTCACCCAATTGTATATATGTTACTGCTAAATTAATTCGTCCTGCAGCTTCATCTATAATTATTGTAAATGAGAACTCAACAAGTACAACGTCAAATATGAATTCATCAACAGCAACTGGTCTCGATCCATTAAGATCTAATGAAATAGTATTTACAGCTGCATGCAATCCCGCTTATACTGAAATACCAAAACGCCATGCATCATTTGGTCTCTGGCCAAATGTAAATTTACCACCTGTCGATGGTTTAGTTCGAGCAGGATTTTTCTATTCAGGTACAAAAACAATTGTGACTTGTTTTTATTGCAATGGATCATTACAAAATTGGGGTCCAAATGATAATCCAATGATTGAACATGCTCGATGGTTTCCACATTGTGCCTATGCTAAACAACTTTGTGGTGATGATTTGTATCGAAAAATTCAAGAATCAAAACGAGCCCAACAAGGTATATTGAAATATAAGAAATTTTTAAACTAAATCTAAGTTTTTTTGTCTTTCATTTAGAACGTGCCAGAGCAAATGAATCAAAAGAAAAAGCAACTTTGGGTATGCCAGCAAGTACCACTACTACTACCTCAACTACAACAAACAATCGACAGTTATTAATACCTGATGAAAGTACTCTATCCCGACTTGTTGCAGCTCGACTAGATCTACCAATTTCACAACGTTTATTAGATCAAAAATTTAAACTATCTATTATCAAACGATGTTGGGAAGATCAATTACGATTGAAGCGTAAGTGAAACAAACTGCAATACATTATTGTATAATTTTCAATATTTTTTTCTTTTTCTTTTAGAAGATGATTTTATATCAGAGTGTGATTTATATATTGCTTGTTTAATTCTTCAGAAACAGATCGAACACATTGATGGTAAAAAGGAAAACATTGTTATACCAAGTATAAAAATGAAACAAATCAGAGAACAGAATGGTAAGTGTTTAGAGAATATGTTTTAACAATTTTTTATCATTATTATTTATTTTATAAAAATGCGTACTCAAGGTCAAACATCAACTACAACTCAGTCGATGACGAATTCTACTGATGCTGATATGACTACATCATCTCCATCATCAACAAATGAATCTATATCTCCGCAATCTTCAGTTGATTCCACAACAAAATCAACAACACCTGCAAATCAAACCGATATCAAACCAAGCAAATCAGTACCTTCAACTAGCAATGAACAGGATCAGTCAGTGAATTCAACATCATCAAATCCATGTGTCCTTTGTTTAACAGAAGAGAAAAGATTAGCTTGTATACCTTGTGATCATTTAGCAACATGTGTACCATGTGTACCATGTGTACCATGTGGGCATTTAGTAACGTGCGTTCGGTGTGGTCATTTAGCAATATTTTAAAACTCGCTTTGAAAATAAGCCGTCAGATCACATTATTTTTTTAATATTTTCAGAATCTTAATATGTCAATTATTGTTTTTATCTAGTATTGTTAAAGTTTTTTGTTATATATTTATTTTATTGTGTGTCTTGGATATATCACTTCAAATCGTTTTGAAATAAAATAAAGAAACAGAAACTTAAAATTATAATCTTATAATTACATACAAATACCGATAATAACGATAAAAAGTGTAGATAAATTTTATTTAATAAAATTATTTGATGCTATTTTTATATTTTGTTGCGTTATATATTATATGTAAAAGCATGTATCTAAGCTTTTTGAATCTAATAGTGTTTAGAAAGATTTTAATTCATAATAAAGATATGAAAAGAGATAAATTTTATTTTTATTTATCTCAACAAATGTAAGCAGCATATCAGTAATGTGCAAAAAACAAAAAAAGTTTACATTTTTTGAGGGTGTAGTTGTGATGGGTGTGGGTATTAGCGTAGATATAAGAAGAATATAACGCCCACATCGGCGCCCTGTTCCTTGTGATCAATCTCTCCGATTGTGTTCAATATATCCAAGTGATATAAAAGCTTTTATACGTATAGAATTATTACCATAAATATCGAACATTATTAAATGTGAAACCACAATTACATTTGCACTTTAGCTTTATTGTATTGAAATAAAATATATGTATATAAAATGTAAAATTGTAGCACATTTATAGATTTTTCTGAAATCAGTACGGTCAGAAAATGGAAGATTCCAGTTATTTATCAGTGTTGATGAAAAATACTTTTATTTTTTCATCAAATAATTCAAAAAATTGTTCAAAATGATTTTGTTTACTTTTAAATCAATATACATCATATACATGTGTATGTCTTCAAAATAAGACAAAAGCATATCGACTTGTTCAAGTGTGACGGAATCACGTTTTTTCACGTTCTCTCTTTAATATCTCGACATGTTTCGATCGGTTTAAGTTGAATACTTCCATATGATATAAAAGCTCGGTTGCCCTGCACATCAAAAGAGTTTCGTTAGATTTCGTCCTTTTCTTATTGTTTTAAAAGTGAAATATATGCTCGTGACGGAATTAACAAAAATGGTAATGCATTTTCAGTGTTGCGTGAAAGATAGAAAAGTTTAGCTCAGCTATAAATATGAAGAAAAACGTTTGCATATGAAAATTATAACATATATGACTAGCTACACAGAAATAAAAATAATTCGAAATATATGACAGTATAACTATGCAAGTAAAAAAATGGTGTCGTGACGCATTCACGTTTTGAAAATGGTCATATTTTTATCACCGTTTGTTTCTCCGAAAAATGAACTGCAATTTCATTGAATAGATGAGGCTGATTAAGCATGCATGAAAATGTCTCAGGAAAAATATCTTACATCATCCTTTTAGCATCTTAAGAATTACAGAATGAGAACACGAATTTTGCATTTTTCTGACTTAGCCCAGATGGGTGGACTGTTACGTGGAAAGGTCGCTTTACATTTAATGTATGTCTGTTTCTGGATCGATCTATCTTGACCTTAAACTGACACCAATAAAATTATGCATCTAGAGTTTCAATTGTAAAATAATTGTTCTCTATATCGTATAATACTAGCTAGAGCTTTGAAGAGTTCCATTTTACTCGCTTATTTGAAGTACTTCTTTTTGAAGAATATTTGATGACTTTCAAGAATAGCTATTAAATTAAAAGTCTCTTGTATTTTAACCATCGCTATTGTTACAGTCTTATCATAAGCTGTAGAAGAAGTTGATAGTCTGGGAACTTAGTAATAGTTCGTTTATTTATGAAGAAAATGTAAGCATTTATAGGACAAGAAATGGCTATCTAGATTATTCCTATCTCTTGTAAGACAACATATTCTGGGAATACTGCGTAAGTGATATCCTTTTGTTCATCTGTTGAAAATGACACATTTCAATATTAGTCAAAAGAAAAGAAGAAGAAAAACGCATTAAGATAATAAAAGCGAAAATCTCATACGATATATATATATACTAACTCGAAAAGAAAAAAAGAATCTTTTCTTACTAAACAATTGTGCAAGATTATCTCAATCATCGAATGATTAAAAAATGATGTATATTTCAATTTATCAACAAGATGATCATTAATTTATTGAAAAAGAGAATTGAATGAGAAATTGCATTTAAAAAAAAATCGCCACGATATTAAATGAAACAAATGTTTATCATTAATCAGTACCTAGAAATAGAAATAGAAAATAAGAAAGAAATAGTTTTAATATTTTTACTACCGAAATATTTTTGACCAAAATGAATTGGTGTTTGTTCATTAATTTCTGAGACAACAATTTTTACTTTTGGATAAGACTCACAAATTCTTTTAACACCATCAGATGTTGAAAATAATGTTATTAGAATAATATCTGATTGTTCACATAAATATTCTGTAAGTAATAGTTTAATACCAGCTGAAACTGTTGAACCAGTTGTTACAACAGGATATGTTACAAGAATACGTCTTCGATGAGCATCAGGTGGTAATTTTGCATATATAATCTGACCTTCATTTATTAATATTTTACCTGTACGTATAGACCTAAAATAACGAAATATATTTTAATATATTGTTGAATAAGAGAAGAATATTGGGAATAGAATCAGATTTCTGAAAATTATTTACATATCCTTTTTTCCTATAAATTGATTTTCAATTTTTTTTTACTATTTAAAAAGAAAGTTTATGTTACCGGCAACATT